AATAGGCAGCCATGAGGATTATTCTTCTTGTTCAAGATTATTAAAAATCTCGTTCAGACTTCGGTGCAATATTAAACATTGTGAATGCAGATTTAGCTGGTACCCAGGATATAATTTAAAACCCAAAAATAAGGAATTTCCAATTTTTGCAAATATGTCAAAGTTTAGCGTGAGAATTTTTAAAAAGCTGGTGCTATTACTTGTATGAGTTTAGAAAAAATTTGGCTCACTGGTGCACTTTTATTTTTTATTTTATTTTTACTTTATTTATTTATTTTATTTTTATTTGCAATTTTGCAATTGCATAGTTTTTGCAGGCATTTTTAGATTATTTTAAATATATATATATATATATATATATTAAAATATCTGTATATATTTTATAAATATTTAGAATATACACAGACATGCAAATATTTATATCTATAGAAATTAGGGGACTTTCTTCTTATTGGGAAATTTTTCATTACAAAATTCAAAGGACTATTGAATTTCAAATGATGATTAAATTTCCGCTTACTCAGGTTGTAAAAGTGGAAGATAGATAAAGCCATTTTTGGATATGAACTAAATAAATTCTTCTCCATTCATACAGCTAGCTGAATCAAGAAGGGGAGAAAACTATTGTACATATATTTTTCTATAAATATCTATTTTGTCCATTTCTTTTCCAGAGATCTTTAAAACCGATGCAGGACTGGGTAAAATTATTATTATTTTTCCATTAGTGATGTACAAAGGCAAAGCTTTGATGGCATTGATGGGATTCCTATATAGACTTTTATAAGCAAATTCTTTATAAGCATATTCCTCTCCTCCATGATCTTAATTTCATTGAAGATGATGATCTGAAATAGCCATCCTTTTTTATTTTGTCTTTTTAAAAAGCCATGGGAAAGTAGAAGTCAATACAGCCAAGAACAATACAAAGACATGAAATCTAAGCCTGTAGGAATTAATTTATCCGATGATAGACAGTTCATACACTTGTCCCCAAGGTGTTTTTTCAAAAGGCAATTAGCCTCTCTTTGTTTTTCCTCATCCAAGAAGCTTCTTCAGTTCTGAATTGAGGAACCGAAGAAGCTTCTTGGATGTGAAGCAAAACATCTTCAAAGAAAAACCAGAAAGTCCAGTTGTCACTTTAAAAAAAGAAGCCCCTTTGGAACAAACCATGACTGGGATGACTGAGAGTCTCCAGAGGCAATTCAGACATTGCTAATGTAGTATCTTGCTCTCATTTTCCACCTGACCTGAGCATAACCAAGTAGCAACCATTCCTTTTATGGTGCTACAGCTTTGCCATCCTTTCTTGGCAAAATTTGCTTTAAATTCGCCCGGCCAAGGATCTGAAGGAAGGCCTCCTTATAGCCATCCTATATCAAAAGCTTTTCTTGGTGTTAGCAAATTCTCAGCTTCAGCTACAACATAGAGAGGGAACAAGGGGTGCATTTATTCCTAGCAATTGTCTTTTGTCTGTGTTTATATAATGATGTCATCCAAAAAATCATATTAATAAACTACGGCTTTGCTACTGAAGCATTTATAGAATGACTCTTTGTTTAGATATGTGGTCCGTGTTGCTATTCGTTGGGACATAACAGCAATGTTTATCCACCATGATTGAGAGCTGACCTATTTTTTTTTTAATGCTAAATTATGTTTTCTTTTTTCTGGAGAGGATGATGGCATTTCAAATTTAAAACTCAACCCCTTGAGCTATTTAGTTAAAAGGATGGATTTTTTATTTCTGCCCATCCGGTCCATTTTTCTTCAGTCCCTAAAGAAAATAAGGCAGGTCGGACGAGGTGTATCAAAGGGTCAGAATTTGCCTGGCAACGCTCAGCGTGAGCACTACCTGGGGGAACTGTACACCTGGGCTGGTTAAAGGTAGACTTACCTTTGGCACTTTGATGATGGACGGTCTTGGGATCTGTGTAAGAACCGGGGCTGGGTCACGTCCCAGGTTTTCATCTGGAAACAGAGGTGGATCCAGAGGCCTAACAGCCACGGATGGGACCCCCACATGTCTGCTGGGGTTGTGATTTGCAGCGTTGTGTCCCTCTGCACAATGGTTGGGCCTGAAGACTTCTTCTCGAGTGGCATCTTTGTGGAGCTTCAGAGAATCGGTGTACCTTGCAGGTGGCGGCTGCCCACAGACGACAACTTCTGGCTCCAGCTTTTGTTGCTCTTCGGGGCTTAGGCAGGTGGTCTGACTTTGATCGACAGGTGGGCTTTCGGTCACGCTGCCGAAGCAGCTGAGCAATGTCGAACAAGGAAACGGATGCATCGTGAATATGGGGAGGTCGCACAGCTTATCCCAGAGCAACACTGGCATTCTTCTCATGGGCTCAACAGCCCTAAAATGGTTCTAGAGGGAAGAATCCAGAGCAGGTGGTGAGGTGTCCACCATAACTCTTCCATAAGGGGACGCCCCGTAGAGTTCATTGAGTCGGAAGTGGAGGATGGAGAGCCACAGAATTCAACGGCACGCCTGGCATGGCTTCCTTGGGTAGAAGAAGCACCAGGACCAGGAAAAGGTTCAGAAGAAGGCAGACTCTTCACTGCATTGTTGCCAGCCTCCAAACAAGGAGCTTTCACAAAAGAGCCATCTCGTCAGCAAGCTCAGGTTACAATCCTCAGCCAAACAGCTGCTACCTGAACAGGTATGGCTTACTCAGTGGCCCTGGAGCCTCAAATTACCTGGCTGGAGTGGCAGAAACAAACAAACAAACGCTAGACCGATCTAGGAGAGCCTCAAAGCGTCTATCTTTGACAACATGACAACAGCATCACTAGCCTTCTCGTTGCCCTGCTTCTTCTGAAGGCCCACAACACAACACACGACAAACGTATCGCAATCTGGATGGACTTCACCTTCTTTCGAGGGAAGGCCTTTGTTCCGTTTTCACGATCTGCTCAACACCGTCAAACACTGCAGGTGCAGCCAGGTGTTCTCACCTGGTGGCAAATCCCAAACAGAGCATCTTATAGACTGAGGTTCTCAAAGGTGGATTTTAGCAGCTGTCCTATTTCTTCCACGAATGATTTTAAAGCGTTCTCCAACTCTTGGAGAACGATGAACTTCTCATAAAGCACAAGTTAATTCTCTCTGGCTTTGGGCTACAGCAAATAAACTTACCCATTGTTACTTCCCCCGGATTGTCAGAGGGTTGAAAAATGACTCTCGGCGGAGGTAATTTTTCTCGAGGACCCTGGCATTTTAATATTTCCATTTGAACTACTGAAGAATACAAAAGGCACCCAGAAAATGTATTCAAGCCTTTGAAAGAGCATTAGTACATTCAAATACACCAACCAGCCCACTGTGACCCAAATTTCTTCTTGCAATGTGTTCGCGAATGTCATAGCTACTTTTTCTTTCATTGGCTGGTAAATCCACAGCACCCGGTTAAATAAAAGAAAATCCCCTTTTGGGCCTGATTTGGGAAACTTGGATGATGTTCAGCAACAAAGATCTGAAGAAATTCACAATCCCCTCCCTGCTTTTTTGCCTTCAGTGGCTGATTCATAGGGAGCAGCTTGGCTGCTGGCCCAGAAGATTAGATTCCCTCCTTTTTTCCTCTTTTGAGAGAGACAGCAGTTGAAAGGTGAAATGTTGGCCATCTCCCTCCCTCCCTCCCTCCCTCCCCCTCTCTCTCACACACAAACACACATCATCTATCTGCCTGTCTATCCTCTATCATCTCTCTAGTTCTTTCTCTCTCTCATCTATCTTTCTACCTATCCACCTCTCTCCTCTCCATTTCTCTCTCTCTCATCTATCTGCCTATCATCTAGCTATCTGTCTGTCTATCCTCTATCTACCCATCCTCCATCCTCTCTCTGTTTTTCTCTGTCATCTCTCTCTCTCTCTCTGCCTATCATCTCGTTCTCATCTATTTCTCTCATCTGCCTATCGTCTCTCTACCTACCTATCTGTCTATCCTCGATCTATCTCTATTTCTCTCTATCTTTCTACCTGCCCATCTTCTCCCTCATCTCCATTTCTGTCTCATCTGCCTATCATTCATCCATCTGTCTACCTTTCCTCTACCTATCTAACCATCCTCTATCATCTCTATTTCTCTTTCAATCATCTTTCTCTCTCTCTCTGCCTATCCTCTTGTTTGTATCTATTTTTCTCATCGATCTGCCTTTCATTTTCCCAGCATCTACCTGCCTACCTACCTACCCATCCATCCATCCATCCATCCATCTATCCTTGCTCTCACTCACTCCCCCTCTTTGAAACAGGGAGAAATTGAGAAGGATTCTGCCAGGTTCCCCCTTCCAGACCAAGGGACTCTCAGGCGGTGGGGATGGCTGCTTTGTCTCTGCTACACAAACAACCTTCCCATGGAAGGCAAAGAAGGTGCCACTTGTTGTCCTGGCAGGGGCACCTGCAAGGGAAGGCACAAACTTGACCAGGTGGAGTGACACCATGCAAGCTCCGGCCCCTATCCGTGCGATGTCAATACCTGCACAAAAGCCAGGAGGGTTTGCATTGCAGCTGCCCTCTGACTTCCTCCCGATTCTGATCTCTCTCTCTCACACTCACACACACACACACACACACACACACACACATACACGTACCAAGACCAACATTTCCTGTCAGGGATGGGTGGAGGGGAAAAAGGATAAATAGGGCCCCCTAGAGATCCAAGAGATCCCTTGCCCACGGAGGAGGCAGGGATTGAAATCTGGAGAAAGGATTTCATGTTTTGAGCTGTTCTTCTTCAAGCCAGGGCCGTCAGTTAATCCAATTGCCAAAGATTCTACTGTCCCCCCCCCCTGCCCCCCCCTTGTGCTTTTCCCATTGAGAGATCGTGGATTATGATGTCCACCCCCTGGATTCTTCCCCCTTCCCTGAGGAAGTCCTGGAGATCCCTGGAGTTCTAGGAGCAATTTCTTCAGCTTCTTCAGAAGGGTCCTGATGAATGAAATCAAATCACGGCGGAGTGGAAAGCATTCAGATACAGGTTAACAGGGTTGGAAGGGACCTCGTAGGTCATCTAGGCCAACCCCGCCGCCCAAGCAGACCCTAAACCAGTCCGTCACAGATCAGCTTTTGCAGGAGCTGCCGTATGCTTGGGAGCAACCTCCTTAATCAGGTTCACAAAGTCTGTTTTTTCAGCACAAGCTCTGCAAACTTCTCCCCAGCTCTCCAGGATCTTCTTCAGCTCAGCCACTCTCATCTTCGATAGGTCCACCGAAGTTAGATCGAGTTGTCTTTCTGTAAAAGCAGATGAGCCAAGTCAGATACCTACAGATACATCTACACCCTGAACCAGTTTGCTACAATGACCCTAAAATAGTAGGAAGAACTCTTGCAGGAATTGGGGCGGTCCAGTGTAAGGAAAAGAAGGAGTAGGGGTGAGGTGATAGCGGTCTTCTTATATTTGAGGGGCTGCCCCAGAGAAGAGAGGGGTCAAACTATTCTTCAAAGCACCAGAGGGCAGGAGAAGAAGCAATGGATGGAAACTAAACAAGGAGAGCACCAATCTAGGACCAAGGAGAAACGTCCTAACAGTGAGGACAATTAACCAGTGGAACAGCTTTGCCTCCAGAAGTTGTGGCTGCTCCATCACTGGAGGTTTTCAAGAAGAGATCGGACAACCATTTGTCTGAAATGTCCAACTTTGTCATTCTGAAAGCTGCAGAGAGAAACAGCGAAACGTTCAAAGAAGATCGCGAGGCCTCACAGCAACAGAGCTCGCAGCCTCTATGGTGATTTCTCAAACTTTGAGGAATTCAGACCTTCTCCCCTGTTCCAGGGGTGGCCCCACCCAACCCCCAGGAACTACTGGACGGAAGGGTGGGGGTCATGACCTTACCCAGAGAGCGGCCCCTCCCTCCCAGAGGTCACCTCTCACTGCTGGACCGGTTGGAGGAGAAACGAAAGGAACCGGAAGAGGTTTGGTCAACTAGAAGGTGCCCCGGAGCTCCTCTCCTCTTTAATTCGTCGGCACAGCTCCTCATTCTTTTGGGACTTGTATCTTTTAGCATGCCGGGGGGGCGGGGGGGCAGGGCGGTGGGAGCTTCTTGGTCGCTGTGCTTTGAGTAGCTCACATCTTCCCAAAGGGTTCTCCTTGGGTCACTCCGTTTCCAGGTCTTTGACTGCAGGAAGCCTCCAGTGACGTGGTGTCTCCGCATATGGAAACGATTAATAATGTGACTCTGTACAGACACAGCCTCACAAATGGTTCTCGTTCTCCTTTTCTTTTCTGGAGGCAGTTTGCTTACCCTTCTGAAGGGGAAGTGCCAAATCCCATGGAAAACTTTAAATCAACTCAAGCGGTCTTTGCATTCCCTCCTGAAAGTTCCTTTAGGTTTGTATTTCTGGACCGAACATGTGAGCACAGATGGTATTTGGACACAGTACAACTGTTTAGAATTTTGCTAATACAATAAGTAGAACCACTGCATACACTCTCTCTTTCTCTCTCTCTCTCTATTTCTCTCTTTCCATCTCTCTCTCTCTCTCTATCCTTCCCTCCCTCTTTATTTCTTTCTCTCTCTCCCTCCCTGCCTTTCTCTTTCTCTCTCTTCCTCTCTCTTTCTCCCTTTCTCTCTCTTTCCATCTCTCTCTCTTTTTCTCCCCCTCCCCCTCCCTCTTTCTTTCTGTCTCCCTCCCTCCCTTTTTCTCTATCCCTCCCTCCCTATTTCTTTCTCTCTCTCCCTCCCTTTCTCTCTTTCTCCCTTTCTCTCTCTTTCCATCTCTCTCTCTTTCTCCCCCTCCCCCCTCTTTCTTTCTCTCTTCCTCCCTCCCTTTTTCTCTATCTCTTTCTCCCTTTTTCTTTCTCGCCCTTTCTCTATTTCTCTCTTTCCATCTCTCTCTATCCCTCCCTTTCTCTTTCTCTCTCCCTCCCTCTCTCTTTCTCCCTTTCTCTCTCTTTTTCTTTCCCTCCCTTTCTCTCTTTCTCCCTTTCTATCTCTTTCCATCTCTCTCTCTTTCTCCCTCCTCCTCCCTCTTTCTTTCTCTCTCCCTCCCTCCCTTTTTCTCTCTCTCCCTCCCTCTTTCTTTCTTTTTCTCTCTCTCCCCTCCCTTTCTCTCTTTCTCTCTCACACACATAAATATACACTCACACTTATAAAGTGTAAACTTAAATATCTTAAATGAATCCTATACTTCTAAAGGAAATGCATCCTATACTTCTAAAGGAAATTTTTCACTGTCACCCTTGACCCTGGTTTTCTCCCCCCCCCCGGGTGTATCGTAATTCATATTCTCCAATGGGACACCTCCATAGCCCAGAGTCATCAATCATGTTCTCGAGTTAGATCTTTGCACGGCAGAAACTTCAGTCACCTAGTTCCTATCTTTGAAAACATTTATGGAATGCACTTTTGATTTCCAAGCTGCCGCACTGCTCTTTCTAACCCCTTTCCCCCTCTCCCTTTCTGTTGGCAACTCTAAAACGGCCATAGAAATGCTTTATGAGTTGACATATTGCTACTTATGAATGGACCAACCACCTTGTTGGTGTTTAAAGTAACCTATCAATCTGCACCAAGACAGAGTTATCTTTACAGGATAAGCTTTTTGGCATGACACAGATTAAAAAAAAAAATCAGGTGAAGCAGCGGTCAAATGGTTGAGGTCAATATGTTGACCTCTTTGAGAAGATCCCTCTCAGTGCTGATTAGCTGGCTGTCCTCTAGTCTGGCTGGGGAATTCTGGGAGTTGAAGTCGCCAGGCTCAAAGTTGCCATGTTTGGAGACCCCTCCTCTAGACTCATGTCTGAAAGGGCAAACAATGGTTACATGATGGTTCTCTGTGTTACCCACAGACATGATTGAGCTTGTAAAAGCCCACACCTTTAAAAAATCAGGATCATCAGTGCCTTCCCAGGAGAGGTAAACCAGTTGTAAATACTGCGGAAGGTTCTTAACCGTGTGCTTAACTGGCCTACATTTGTCAACTTCCTCCATACCGTGTTTGAGTTCACAAATCTGAAGATCGACTTTCTTCAGTTTCTCGCAGATTTTGGCCGCAGGGACGTGGCCGCTCATTGGACGGCTGACTTCAGTGAGGATCTTGGCAGCTGCGTCTTCGGTAGCCCCAAGGTAATAGCACTAGACAAAATAACACAGGTGAAATGAACAGTTGGGGTCTTAGGGATGCCCTTGTTTTCTTCCCTGAGTTTTCATAGCCAGAAGTCTTCAAACGAAATTATAGAATAAAATAGAATAGAATGTAGAATATTAGAATAGGAGTAGGAATAGAACGGAATGGAATGCAATGGAATAGAATAGAATCAGGAACAGAACAGAATAGAATAGAATTCTTTCTTGGCCAAGTGTAATTGGACACACAAGGAATTTGTCTTGGTGCAAATGATCTTATTGCACATAAAAGAAAAGATACCTTCGTCAAGAGTCAAGAATCATCAGGTACAACACTTAATGATAGTCACAGAGTACAATAAGCAATCAAATCATACCAGGAAACAGTCAATATAAATCGTAAGGTTGCAAGCAACAAAGTTACTACAGTCACAAGTGAAAAGGGATGGGTGATAAGGTGTGATGAGAAGATGAACAGTAACAGTAGTGCAGACTCTATTCTACTATCTCAGGGACTTAGAAGCCGCACAATGATAGACAGAGTCAGGTAGAGGATTCCAGACATTGACCACTCTGTTGCTGAAGTCGTATTTCCTGCAATCAAGTTTGCAGCGGTTAAACTTGAGTTTGTATCTCATTAGTAGTTGCATAGGGGATAACTAAAGAAAACCAGAAAGACCTGAGTTATAAGTTGAAACAAAGGTGTGTAAAAAAACCCACATACACTCTGGAAGAAAAATGTTGCAAATCGGTTCTGTAGTATTGTGAAGTAAATGGCATGGCTGTGTGTGTGAATTTACCAAAGGTCAAAATGGATTTGAAGGACACTTTTTTTTTAAAATCTAAACTCTGCTTGATGGAGAGATGAGAGAAGGTCATACCAAGCGCTGTTCTTTGCCTTTTGCCTCCACGCAAGTCTTAATTAACTCCTCCTCTATGGAAGCCATGGAGAAATCAGAATGGTTTTTTTTCAAAGAACTGTAGAATCTTTCCAAAAAATCTTGACACACTGTAAAAAAACAAAAAACAAAATGTGAAAAAGTAAATACACACAATGCACAAAAAATGTTGGTTAGGGTTAGGGTTAAACAAATGGATCGCCCAAAGTTTCCAACTCGAAGGGTAGAATTCATTATTATAATTCATAAAATGAAAACACATAAAAATAAAATGCAGAACTCATTTTATGTTGAAATTCCTCCCTCCTCTCCTTCCTTCCATGTCCTTCCTTGAATTTTCAGTGTCTATATATAGAAAAGACATTATTATTTGTGCTTGCAGTTTTATTATTATCACACCCCTGTAAGCGTAGGCCATTCCCCCACATTTGTTATGTGAGTTCTGCCCCATTTTACAACCTCTTGTTAAGTGAATCACTGCAGCTGTTAAGTTAGCAACATGGTTGTTAAGTGAATCTGGCTTCTCCGTTGAGGTTGCAAAAGGGGATGACAGGATCCCTGGGCACTGCAACTGTCATAAATGTGAGTCAATTGCCAAGCGTCTGAATGTAAATCGCATTTCCATGGGGATGCTACAATGGTCCTAACTGTGAAAAACAGCCATAAGTCACTTTTTTTCAGGGCGGTTGTAACTTTGAACTGTCACTATCTGTTGTAGATTCAAATATGATGCAGCCAAGAGCTCCGTTAAAGCAGGGGTCGGCAACCTTTTGGACCTCAGGGACCACCAAACTCATAATTTTAGATCCCAGGGACCACTAACTGGTTCTGTGGACGTGGCCTAATTTGTGGGTGTGGCTTGGTGGTCATGGGACCGGCTGGGCATGGCTTGTATGTAAATACTATAAATATTGATATAAATATTGATTTTTTATATAAAAAAGAGCAACTTTTACCCAAAATCAGGCAAAGCAGGCAGGCAGATTGAGTTGCTCACAGAATCATTCAGTGATCTACCTATCTGCCATCGGCTACCTGAGTCTGTCACATAAAATTTGCTTGCCTGAGTCTGCACTGAATCATAGAATCTTAGTCCTAAGGGAGGTTCGGCTGTGCTTAAAAGCAGAGCCAAAGATCTAGACTAGCTAGAAAGCAAGAAATGCAACGATTTCCTGCTTTTCAGATAATCTAAATCTCCCGGCACAGCAGAATAGCTGATGGTCGGAAAACGGAAATATAGCAATTTATCAGGCAAGTTTGCTGGGTAAGGAGGGAGTGGGCGGGGAGGGTTCCCGCGGGCCATGTGCGCTGAGCAGCCTTGTGTTTCTGCGCAGCCTGGATTCATTGCTTTGGGGGTGCTCTGGGGGTGAGATTTCTCTGCGGCCCACCAAAATTTTCTCCCGGCCCACCAGTGGCGCGACAGCCTACCGGTAGACGATTGCTGCCTTTATCTATCTATCTATCTATCCATCCATCCATCCATCCATCTTTTATCTTTCTTTCTATTATCTATCATCTATCTTTCATCTAGAAATCAGTCATAAATACGAGTCCTTTGCCAAAGGTCTAGATTTTGATCATGTGACCAGGTGGACGCTGCAATGAATAAGTGGGAAAAAAACCGTCCTAAGTCGCTCTCTCTCCATCTGCCTTAGAACAGGAGTGTCCAACCTTGGCAACTTTTAAGACTTGTGGATTTAAATTCTTATAATTCATCAGCTGGCTGTGCAGGCTGGGGAATTCTGGCAGTTGAAGTCCACCCGTCTTAAAAACGTAAGCCAGGTTGAAAAACTATTCTAAATGTTTACCCTTCTGTATTCCCCTCCTTATTTCTCTGTTTTCTTCTCTTGCATTTCCCTCTGTCCTTTCACTCATGGCCGCTGTCAAGGCCTGTTTCTTTTTCTTTGTGTATATGCTGTAGAAGTGGTGTTTTTTTAATTGTAAAATTAATAAAATTTGTGGGTTTTTTTTAAAAAAAGAAAAACTCTCCTTAGCACCTCTGCAAAGGTGAGTCAGTATTTGCAAGGGGGGCGAAGGTTCACTTTAAAAAAAAAAAAAAATACATGCAAAAGCCCACAACTCCAGGCAGTTTGCAAACAGCGCTTGCTCTTCCAGCTCAGGATCTCAGGAAGGCCATGCAAGCAAGCCAGCCATGCTGGAATCCACCCTGGCAGGCTAATTATAGCAGCAGAAGGGGAACGCGTTTTGCACGCGGGTGCAACGCAACACACAACCCCTTCCTCACCTTCGCACCGAGCTTCGGCGCCCCCTGGGCCAGAGGAAGGCTTAGCCCCGGGGCTTAAACAGAGCGCCGCCACCAGCAGGGTGGCTAAAAGGCGACCGTGCAACAGGCCGAGACGAGCCATGGTTGCAAAAAACAGAACGGAACGCGACCTTTCTTGCAAAACCAGCAGCTGCCCGGGCCAGCAGAGCGAAAATCTGCCCAGGTTGCTAGGTGGAGTGACGTCACGCCCGACTATTTTTTGGATTGGCCGCCCGGTGCCTGAGAAACAGAAGAGGAGGAGAAAAGAAGAATGATGCTAATAGGGCGGCGCTCCCGGTGTATTGTGGGTAGGCGAGCCGCGGCAAAGATGGCGGCGATCGGAATCCACTTGGGGAGCAGCTGCGCCTGCGCGGCCGTTTATAAGGCGAGGAGGGGGCTTAGGGTGGAGTGGGGGGTCGTATTTTTACTGGGGAGGGGTCGTTTTGTCCCTAAAAAGGGACGAAACGGGGGTAAAAGCTGTCTTGGAAGAAAAAAGGGGGGTCCCTGGGAGCAGAGGGACGCTGAGATGCTAGCTTTCTACGCGAGGGGCCAGGGAGAGGGGTGGGGGGGGGTTGCGGGGGATTTTCTTGTGGGGGGCCTGCCTGGCTCTCCTGCATTAGAGTCAGCGGAGGGGGGCTTCGTTTGCAAGAAGAAGAAGGGCCGCTGTAGGGTTATAGAGAAGGGTGAGGCTGAGATGCTGGCTTTCTGCTTCCAAGGAGGGTTTTTTTTTCTTTTGCAAGGGACGGGGGGTTACATTTTGAAGCTTTGGGGGTGGCTTGAATTAGACTTACGAGATCTGATGAGGTTTGGGGGAGATTGAAAAAGTTTGGGTTTCTAACTTTTTTGCAATTGTGAGGGTTTTTTTTGCAATTGTTTTTTTTTTCAATTTTATTTTTTTTGGGGGGAAACTTGCACCACTTTGGTGAATTGCTCTCATTTTTACAACATTCCTTTATACACACTCATACACAAACACATACATACATACATATATATGCCGCTTTCCTTTCATCCTTCAGCACCTTGGAGGGAGCTTATCTTATTATTTTAAAAATAAAATTAGGCTAGTAATAGGAAAAAAGATTGGTTTCTGGAGGGATTTCTTGAGAAATGTGTGTAATACTCTTTCCAGGGGAAAAATAATCCATAACTATTAAGCCTCTTAATAGTTAACCTAAACTATATTTTGTTATGATTGACAAAATACAGTAAACGTTGGGTTGAATTATTACTCGACATGATGTTACCTTGCTGTATCTGAACTCATTGAGTATATTCCAGATACTTGTAGGGTCTTAAAAGTACTGATTGAATTGCAAAATTGACTTATTATATTTGAATCAGGTTGGTTTGTAAGGATTTCTCTTTATCATTTTTTCCCCTACCGAAGTAAAGAAAATCAGTTACGGTATCTTTGAGATCCAAATTTGTGGCTTTAAACCTTCTTTTTTTAAAAAATAATAAAACTTGGATTTACCACTGTGCTTTTCTTTATAAGTTTACAAAACCATAAGGACTTTGATTAAACATAAGGACTTTGATTCTTAGTAAGTGTGCTTGTGTGTGTTGTAGGATGGCCGTGCAGATGTTGTGGCTAACGATGCTGGGGACAGGGTAACTCCTGCTGTTGTTGCCTTTTCTGAAAAGGAAGAGGTAAATTTCCCTTTTTTTTGTTAAACACTTCAAGCCAAAGTCATGTATTTATTTTTTTCAAAAAATCCCAACCTCTCTTCAATGATTTTCTTAGATCGTTGGTCTGGCAGCGAAACAAAACCGAGTGAGAAATCTCTCAAATACCGTAGTAAAAGTGAAACAGATTCTTGGAAGAAGGTATGAATTTTGCTATAACATATCCTCTTAACGGTTAGTGTGTATCTGACTAAGATGTTTCTTTTTAAAATGTAATGATTGACTGGTCTGCTTTGGCCCTGCTTGTAAACTCAAGTCTCAGCGTTGTTGTTTAGAAAGGAGCTGAGGCTAATTTGATTTTTTTCATCCGTTTGCTTTCTTTCCCGTTATTTAAAGACGTACAGAAATTATACTGCTTAAACCAGGAATGAAAGTGGAATTCATGAAACGTGACTCCCATAATAATGAAAACAATGTACTGTTTTTTAAAATATGTTTTTTTATTTTTTTAACTTGAACATATCATCTTCCATTAAACAGTATGTTGTCTGGGTACAAATATCTCTGATATTGCAATCAAAATTTGTAATATTTGTTACATTGATAATAATTTTCTAATCTTATAATATTAATAATCAGCATTATAACTATTCATTTCTTCATATCTTCTAATGAAAATATATTAAGTATAATAATCTGAACAATCATATTAATAATCATCATATTGTTTACACCTCTATCTTAACATATATTCTTTATTGCACAATGTACTGTTTTTGTTTGCTTTTTTAAAGTTTTAATGTTTTTAAAGTACCTTCCAATTTTGCTTGTTTTCTCAGCTCTGGAGACCCACAAGCGGAAAAATACATTGCGGAAAGTAAATGTTCAGTAAGTGAGGGCATATTTTGCCATTTTTTTCCCCTATGGGGAAAATTTATAAATTTGTGTCCCAAAGGTGCTTTTCTTTTTTTTTTCCAAAAGGCAACTGCACTTCCTTGGTTTTTTTTCCCCTTGAAGACGTTTCACTTCTCATCCAAGAAGCTTCTTCCGTTCTTCAGAACAAGGATATGCCAGAGCAATATTTTCCCTTTTCATTTATTCAATCTGATGGATGTTCCAGGAAAAAAAAAGAGCATCCAGAATAAGGCCTAGTGAATTAGCACACGAACAAAGTTAAACAAAACACACCTGATTATTTAAGTTCAGAAGTTTGATAGAATGGAAATAATTTTAAGCTTCCCTAAACTGCAGGCGATAAATAACAGAATAACAGAGCTGGCAGGGACCTTGGAGGTCCTCTAGTCCAGTCCCTTACTCAGGCAAGAAACCCTCTCCCATTTCAGACAAATGGCTGCCAAACTATCCTTAAACATTTCCAATATTGGAGCATTCACAGCTTCTGGAGGCAGGCTGTTCCACTGATTAATTGTTCTCACTATCAGGAATTGTTCTCTACCCATGCTTATGGTAAAAATAATAATGTGTGAGGTTGAGTTGCTAAATTGTCAGAAGAATGCTTAGGGTTTTTTTTTTGTGTGGCAGTGGTGATATTTGTAGCTTTTTCACATGCTTACTGTGGTCCACTGTTCAACCGCCATCTAGACTTCCGTTTCCTCAATTCCTAGCCAAGAACAATACGAGGGGCTAGTTTAGAAAGGCCGCTGTAAAATAACTTAATTTCTTTTTAGTATAAAGTAACTGGCATCGTTGGGTGGATCAGAATGAGGTTGATGGTTTTCTTAAGCGAAAGATCAGGGGTGTGTGTGTGTGTGTGCATTAAAAATCTCTCATGGTCCAGCTAACCTGAGGAATACCTGGTGTTGATTTGCCTGTAGGTGACCGAAAAGAACGGAAAACTTACTTATGAAATAGATGGCAAATTTGTTTCTCCAGAAGACGTTGCAAAGTTAATCTTCAGGAAGATGAAAGGTAGGGTATTCAAGTTGGAGGGGGGGAAAAATAATGCTAAGTTCTGAGAAACGGACTAGGTTTTACTGATGGTGTCGTTCTGTATTTCTCTAGAAACCGCTCAATTCGCATTGGGTTCGGATGTCAATGACACCGTCATTACCGTGCCTTTCGATTTTGGAGAGAAGCAGAAAAACGTTCTTGGGTGAGTGTGGTTCCTTGAACGCAGATTCTGGAGTTAATCGAGGCCAGATCCTGTGGACACAGCATTCTGCCTGGATCAGACATCCTTTGGAAGCTGGCTCATCCGCCACACAAAATATCCAGAGGCAGACACGTTGGTTTCTCTTGCTGTTCTCTTGTGTCGCATCTTTGGGTACAGAAGTCACAAATAAACAGTGACAGACCATCTTGGGATTTTTTTCCATGGGACAAACAGGCCAAATTGGAAGAAACTTTAGCTACTTTTTACCAATTGGTAATGTCAACTCATAAAATATTTCTATGGTCTCTTTAGAGTTGCCAACAGAAAGGGAGGGGGCCGCAGTGCAGCAGCTTGCAAAACCAAAATTGCATTCCATAAATAGTTTTCAAAGATAGGAACCAGGTGGCTGAAGTTTCTGCCAGGCAAAAGTCTAACCGGAGAGCATGATAGATGACTTTGGGCTATGGAGGTGTCCCATTGGAGAATATGAATTACGATATACCCAGGCAGCGTCAAGACAGTTTAACCCCCAATAAATCCTTTTCAAATTTTTGAAGTTTGGCTCGAGACTTATGATTTAATTGGGGGTAACTGCCGGAATCCTGACAGGTACAAGCTATCTTGTTCCTGTTTTCCTCTAGGATATGTTTTTTTTTTTCTAAGAAAGAGACAAACACACCAAAAATTGTTTTAAATTTTTGTATTCCACCTAGATGGTCTATCATTTTCAAGCAGTGAAATGCTGTTAAAACATAAGTTCACATTTTCATCCATTGCTAAAACTACTTTTCTCTGTATTTGGTGTTTAAATACTGCTGCGATCATAGGGATTATCGCATGACTGAAATACACACACTGAAAGTCGATGCAAATTTGAAATGTCTTGAGTTTGATGCAGAAGTGAATATAAACACAAACTTTATGCTACCTCTTTTTTTATTACATATCGATGTAGCTTAACAAAATAAATTATTCCCCTAATTGCGTGTTATTGCAGCATGGGTGATATTAAGACAACTATCTGGAATGGTTCAAGAATAATTTTTCAACCTTGGTAACTGGAAACTGTATGAACTCTAAACCCCAAATGTCTGAGTTGTGAAATTCTGGAAGTTTTATCATTTTTAAAGTTGTTATATTAAATGTACAGGACTACTCCACTCACCCAGTAATTCTGAAGCTGACATTTATACATCTAGGAGTTGATAAGAATGGCAGTCACTGGTTTAGATTTACCTAGAATAATATACGAGAACCACCCTGGGGTTTTATGGTGAAAAAATGCTGTTAGGGTTGTCTTGTTGTACTGATTCCTGTCTGATTCCTGTCTGTCACAGAGAAGCTGCTAAAGGTGCCGGACT